TTTCCTGGTATGCCAAATTTCGGCGAAACTGTCGCACCTGACGTTCTACCTGGAGAAGGACTCCGCCGCGGTTTTTCAGCACCTTGGGGTCATGCATCTTCCCCTACAAAAGTAACTTATGATGTTAACAAACAACCTGAAAACAATTTTGAGTCGCAAATAGTTCATGGAGTCGCCCAGTTCAGTACCTACTCTTTGATGAAGTTTCAGAGCGATCTTGGAGTCATATTTGAAGTAAATGGGAAAAGTTTAGAATTTTCGTTGGAAATTTCGTTTTCATATAATTTTATGAAAATTGTAAAAATTAAGTGGTGCAAGTTTATGATACAGTCAGTATCCTTAGACGTTCGCGCATCTATACATTAAAAGGGAGGGCATTAGATGGAAAAATGTTTATCTAGAAAATCCTTTTAAATGATAATTAAAACCCAGCGTTAGAATGACAGTAGTTTGAATTTATTAAGATCCTTTTTTAGCATAATAATAGACCGATTATTCCAAGACGTTGAAATGAACTGAGAGAGTACAGCAAATTTAAGGTAATGTAAGGTATGATACATGAATAGCCCACAATCAGATGAGTTAATATCAGGATGCCATGTAACTTCACAAAGCCTTGCCTCCAAAATGTTTTCCTCTGCCAAACTGGACTGCACTTTTGGTCTCACCAAGGCCTCGTTAGTACTCAAATTGCCAATCGAAATCGGGTTGTTCATGTTAAGCCCCAATGTTACCACTTCGCTACAATCACTGGTGCCAGCGGGTTATAGGGTAGAGGCGACATTCAAGGCAAGCCAAGCTTTGAATATTTACTTGGGACGGTTTTTTGGGGCAAATCCCATAGAACAAAACCAACTTAACTGACATCGTCTTTAACAGTCAAGAGGTGAGTGCATAAATCAATCTCTTACAATCAGTACATTATGTTGCCGATAGCTGGTGACAGATAAGACCATCTAGAACTAGTTTTCTGACTGTGGTTTTAGGCATTCAGGCTCGGAAATGCCATATATGACAGATAATTAAAATAAAGCTATTTCGAAAATGTAATATATTAGAAATTGCGAAGAGTTTATGGGCATAGAAAATAATCTCGAATTTCACAATGGAAATCAAGATTGAGAACGTAGTTGTTTGAAATATTGTCGCATCATAAACTAATCAGAATTCATGTATTACGGTTCTACTTTAGGCAGGAATGCAATAAAAACAGTCCTATATTTTTCATAATATGGTTGATCTGCCGTTATTAAAAAAAACGCGGCAGGGTAAACAAGACATATTCCTCCAAAATCATTATACAATAAGAAATACATGCGTATTTTATGCATACATTTAATATTTTATGTTTTTACTCAATTTATTCTATGAATCATTACAATTTATAATTTTTGCTCAGTAAGCTCTTATTTGTCTTTTGTCTTGAACCTAATTAAGTCTACATAAATTAGCATATTTGAGGCAGCAGCTTAATTGGGCCAGCGTTCTACTTCCAATGTGTCCAATTACATGGAATCCATTGTATTTTGCAGTACATTACAAGCTACTAGGTTTCAAGAACATAAGAAGAAGTTAAACTAACCCCACTTTTTATCATGATAGTTTAATCATATTTTTATCCTTGAACCAAACTGTTTAGGAAAATCCTGATTAGTTTGGGACTATAAAGGGCACTTTCAAATCAGTTAGGAGGAAGCTATTAATGTACCATGCCTATAAACTTAATCCCAATATAGTATCCACCTTCCAAGAGTAGTTTAGAGATAACCCTGTGTAAACTGATTTCTTTATGAGTCCTATTGCAGACTCAACTGTGAACAAGGCTTATGAACTAAGATTTCTAAATATTAATATTGCCTATATTCATATTTAAAAAATCAACTCAATGGTACTTCTCATCACTATGGTGCATAAGGCAACTCCACTACTGGAATCAGATTATTCTTTCCTCCGAACATGGCCACAAGAAGAAGATGAAGCCTTCTCACCCGCATGGGTTCGCATAATTTTTATTATCTCTCAATGATGGGCAAACTACCCTTAAAGAATAAAATAATGTAAACGGTCAAAGATAAAGCTATCGCACTATTAGAAATTATAAGCAGTTTCTTACACTGTAGTGTCTTAAGATCTGATATTTGGGTTTCCAGAAATGATATAGATTAAATTTGGCCAGCGAATCTAACTCCATCAGGCCGTAAGAAAGATTATTTTCTTGAGGATGGACTGCAGTTTTGACCTTAAATAAAACGCATCAGCATCCAAAGTAGATTTAGGAAATGATGCATTTAGGAGCAGAGGAAGAACGAGCTACTATTTTACCTAATTGCTCTGGCGTCTAGTTTTTTAAAGATGCGAATTCCTTCTAAATATAAGATGTGCCTGACTATACCTTCAGATATCAACTTACTGGTAGTTTTGATTATTAATTAGATCTTTTTACTGTATATTAGGGCTAATTTTTAGTCAAATTGGTAAGTATAGAAGCCCAAATTATTCGTATCTGGTTAATTAATATAGAAAACTGAATTAATATAGAGGCAAGGGCCGACTCTTCTTAGTACAATACCTTTCATATATACTAATAATCAGCTAATGTGAATATTAACTTTTTTCAAAGTTTAACATTAGTTTAGGAATTTTATTTCATAGGCATCGACTCATACTTACTTCGGCCCCGCGTAGTTGTTCAAAATTGAGATGCCATTGCTTGACAGCTGAATACAACTCTTGGTTGGTTTCATACCGTTCCCGCCAGCGCTGCAGCTCCTCCTCAAGAGAAGTGACCAGAGCTTCGCATTCGAGGTCTCCTCCCGGAGCCCTAGGCATTGATTCATCTATTTCTACGGCAGTGCCAGCCACATTCATAGTCATTGCTA